GGAAAAAGGAGAAAGACAAAAACAAGGCACAGGTCGAAGACCCTCGCATTCGAGCTAAGAAAATTGTCTTAAATTGCGCCAAGCTGGCGCGCGTATACCATACACACGCACACATGCACGCGCCAATGCAAAGGACTATTAGAGTGGATGCCGTACGTATAGTATTACGTAAAGAGTAAAATAAAATGAAGAAGTATGCGAGGGAAAGAATTTTGTCACTCTCGTCACGTAGCTTTACGCGGGAAAAAATAAAGTATGCGCGCGAAGGCTCCTTGCGCGCGCGCCTTCGTACGTGCGGTATTTCGCCCGCGATTGTAACTCGTCGCACTTTGTGTGGGTTCCTCCGGCTATATATGTGAATATATAAGGAACTCGCGAGAAAAGAGAGTGTACGAGGAAGGTTTTCGCGAGTACAACGGAAAATATATGTATTTTATCATTCAGGCTGGATATATTGAAAAATTTTTCCGTCCGCGCGAGACGTGAAAGTTGAACAAGGCAAATCCGATTCGCCAACGCACGAGAAACTGTTACTTTGATTTGTGAATATTAAATTCTTGTATGCATACGAACATAAGTAATCAAGACATTTTAATTCCCACGATGTTGCATTACAAGTCCCCATAAACGGTTTTTTTGGATGCGAGAAGTATAAAAAATGTCCAGAAAACGGCTATTTTCTGCTTCGAAAATTCTGATAAAATTTGGAGATTTGCTTGAAAGAAAACAAGTTTTTAATAGCAGTATAAAATTTGATGATCAGACATTTGATATCATTGTACATCATCGATTGAGATAAAATGCATTTTTTTCAATCTAAAGTCTCACTGCGTTTGTACATCCTAAGACGTGAAAGTGTGCAAATAATTGGAATTTATTTCAAATAAGCTCTCAAGATGTACTATGTTAAAATAAAGATGGCGTTGGTGGATCGTAACACGTACAGTCTTGATGCATACCTAAATAAAAAAAGGAAAGATAGAAAGAGAGAGAAATCCTAATTTGCTCACGTGAATGTGTATACACGCATCGATTACCGAACGTGAGCCAACATACGTGCTGCGCAGAGGAATCCATGCCCACTCGTCGCTCACTCTTTCTCCTCTCACGTGTATGTTATTGCGGTATGCATTCTCTCTACTTCGAATAAAGGTATAGAAAAATCAAGTCGACTTTTATCCGATATACAGCAACTTCATGCGTATGCGATTAAAACAAGATGGATATCTGTATGATGAACAATCGAATGCGAATATTAAAAGCTCAACTGAAACTCGCAGCTTTTCTGCGCGTTATGTGCATTATAAGAATCGTATTATAGTATTATACAGATTGTGCACAACAATAGCAGCCGTCATCATTACAAAATTATATTATGAAAAATTGCACAATTTGCTTGGCATTGAATATTATTAATTGTCAGATAATTTAATTATAATTATTACATACACTCAGCTAGAGTAGTTATCGATAAATGTGTTTCACGGACACCGCGTCGAACACTATTATATACTTACGTGTACGTGTTACGGTACATTTGTACTATATGTAGGTAAATATTCTCTATAAATATATAGAATACGAGCGAATGCACGAGCTTGGATCATAATTGGCTCGACAACTACAGAGTCAGATTTTCAATGCGATCTTAAAAGTGTTCGTATTAAATGAAACTGTCCTTAGGCCCCTCTTGTAATTCAAAAATCATTAAGAAAGAGAAAATAAAGGAAAAACCTCGAGGCGGCGCGATTATAATTAAGTCGAAAAAGAGGCAAAATAGAGAGAAGGAGAGATAGTAAAAAAAAAAGAGGGAACACATCGCTCGTGCTCGCTCTTTTTCTCTAATTTGCGTAATGTAGAAACGAGCCCGTTTAAATTGAAATCTTCTATCTCCGTCTCTGGCTCTCTTGGTGCAAATGTGCAGTGATATAGAAAAGCAGCGGAGTCACCCTCGAGCTCCAGTTAACTGTGCGCGCGCGTTTTGAGGCCTCTCTCTCTCTCTCTCTCTCTCACTTTCAAAGCCCTTCCCCAGCAGCAGCAGCAGCAGCAGCAGCAGAAGCAGCAGCTATATGCGACTTGATTCCTCTTGGAGTCATTTTCTAAAAGGAGTCGACTTCTCCTAATGGGACGCGCGCGCGTCCTATATTATATTTTCTTCTTCTTCTTTCTTTTTTTTTTTATTGTATGCAACAACTTCTGCGCTTGGCACCGACTTTTTATGTACAGATTCGATAATAATACTACCGTAGATTTTATTTAATATTTTGTTTTCGTTTCATTCTCCTTCGTTTTTCATTATTCATTTGTTTTGCTAATTATAATAGCTTTTCATGTTAAAGTTTCGTGTCAGTTATGTAACAATTTGTAAGGCTATCGATTCATGTATTTTATTCTTTACTAATTTCGTTAAAGAGATTCAATTCAGGGGTAACGCATTAATGAATCGAAATTCAAGTAATTGCTACGCACGTCATTATAATCGATTACGACGAATCAATTGACGTCAAAATGGGAAACAAAAGCAAATTCGTAACGCGTCAGAGTCTCGTTTTATTCTGATTTGTTGTGAAAAATACGGCTTGTATCGATCATTATTCATATTTTTTAAAAATGATAAGGAGAAAGGGTAAGAGGATAAAGAGCAAGGAAAGTTAGAATGGGTAAAGCTCGTAGCCGAAGCGCAATTTAGTCGTAAATCTGCGCAGCTTGCCATTACGCATCGAAGTGGCTTTTAAAAGATTCGATCGAGTCATCGTCGCGTAAGTGCACGTGTGTCAGCGCAGGATAGAGGGGGTAGAGAAAAAAAATCACGTGTTTTACGCGCTCATACGCTTTTGTGTGTACACACGATTAGTATGTGTATCGTAAATTGCGCCGAGAGAGAGAGAGAGAGAGAGAGAGAGAGAGAGAGAGAGCTTTCACCTTCGGTCGAGCGCGAGAGAGAAAGATTAAAAGGGCCGATTACGAGCGCGGGCAATGTTTCATGTAACGGATAATATAATGTTCGCGCGTCACGCTTAGGCTTGCGCATTACTATTTTTTTCTCCTTTTTTATGATTATCTTCTCGCGCATTACAGGAGCCGTGCGACAGAGTGACCATAATAGATTTAATTTATAGTTTCAATACGTAATTTAAAGTTCGACGTTGAAGAAAAGCTTAATGCACGCAAATTATAAAATGACGTGTATTATATATTATAATAGGATATAGTTCGCTGACAGCTATGTACGCATCAGCCGACGAATCGAATTAATCAAGCCCCGCATTTAGTACGTAAAACGAAATTCGTATGCTGTACACCGTGGAGAGTTTGAGGGAGATCGTGCAGCAGCTGTACGTATGTGCACGGGGGTGCGTGGGAAAGAAATAAACTCGGCTCTCAAACGCGTTTTCTCGTAAAATTAAATTCCATTTTATACATATAGGCGTGCACAGGCACAGTTAGGCGCGCGAGCGTATCGTACGAATATACATATACACCTACTTCGCAAACACAGAGGATGCGCATTTAGCGGGATGCCCGTGTGCTGGCGCAGGAACAGCAGCAGCAGCAGCAGCTGCCTACTGGCACGTACGCGTACGTATCGCATAATGCCATTACAGAAGAGACAGAGTCAGGAGAGGCTGCTCGTCGGCGGGGGAACCTCTCACCGGTGTGGCTTTTCGGCACACATGCCAGCCTCGCTATTATATACGCATGCGAGGTAAATATGTGTAAAGCTCAACTTGTCCGCGCTAGTGTGCTTTGACGATGCCAGAGCTTTGAGTCGAGAGGCAAGAAGCAGAGCGCGTGCGACAAAGTTTCGTGTTTCCCACTTGCTCCTTTCCTCGCTTTGTCCGCGATTCGCAGCGCTTGGCTTCCATACATACACAAGCCATTTGGAAACTGCAGCGCGCGTTACATAAGCGCGTGCTCGGGTATAATGGAGCTTGCAGCGAGCCAGATATTAATGCTGATCTGAACTTTGCCTTGAGTCCTCGCGAGTAGAATATAAATATATAATATATATGGCTTACAACCAAACATATTCAAAATAATTTTACGATAACATTCGCCTAACATGTCGTCTAAATGATTATGTTAATGAGGCGGTTTAATTAAAAGGATGTAGGCTCGAGCAGCGCGAGTTCAAGGATTTACATTCATTTGTCGTATCTGTGCAGGCCACGTATACTGGTGCCCACGTGTGCGTCGTGACTTTGCGAGTCATTATAATGGACGCGATCTGGCACACACGAGCTTCTATACGCACAGAGATGTAGCATTTATCCGACGTAATTTTCTCGATGTGCTGCGCAGCTCGCAATCGTACGGTGTATATACATATTTAATTAGTCGTCCGCCACTTATCGCGGGACGCGTACTTCATTAAAAGCAACATAACAACATCTCCGCGCGATTATTAGTCTTATCGTAGCGCGTAATGGACGCGGATGAGAGGAGCGCGGGAGGCGACACACGCGTTATTTCCGTTTAATTAAGATCGAATAAATCACGCCTGCCTACCATGCGGCAATTCTGGCGGATGTGAACTTACACACATGTCGTATACTTTTTTTATAACATAATTCGCGGTTGTGAGCTGCAATTATTTGGCTGTATGTCCCATTGAGCGTATTTGCAAAAGTTTGGAAAAGTGAAAAACGAAAAATGAGCGCACGAAAACGAGTACACGCTCGTACAATAGTAATGAGATAAAGCGCGCGTTAACTTTTAATAAAATCAGTTCCCATCCCGCTGGGCGTTTGCGAATCTCGGCAGCACACGAACGCGGTAGCAGCGAAAGGTGTACGATAAAGCGAGAAATAGAAGCTTATGCTCCGCGTTTATATACATCGCAGAGAGAAAGAGAGAGAGAACGAGAGAGTGGTAGGGGTTGGCCACGATCAATAATTTCGCGCGGGGCGCGCGCGCACCGAGACCGACTTTATTTTGCTGCCGTCGCGCGCATGATGCGTCGCAACTGGCCTGGCAGCATATCCTCCTCGTGGCTTGCGCCGAGTGTACCTCGAGCGCCACTCTGTGTGTTATCATCGCGAATGTGTACGTGATATGCGAGCGCATGTGTGGGTGCCCGTAAATGTATGCATACAGAGACAATAGACCGAGAGTCACAGTCAGTCAGTCGCAGGCGTACGATACCGTGGGAAGCCCAGTGCAGCTACGATTTTTCCCTCTCGATATAGTAGTATACAGTAGGTGCGCGCGACGCCTCGACGCGCATTCGTAGATCGTACACCCCCCCGCGCGCGACGCCCGACTCTCAGAACCCCGATCCATATTCCCCACAATAATCCAAGTATATCATACACAATAAGCAACGGGGAAGAAAGGATATTTGCAAGCTGCGCAAGCATCACGCAGCAGCAGCTGTTTTTACTCGCTTCGATTGTGCACGAGGTGAGTGTGAAAGCGAGAGAGAGAGAGAGAGAGAGCTTTTTTGCTGATTTTCCCTACGTTTTATTTGGATGTGAGTTTACGAGTACACGAACGTCGAAAGTGATATACTAATTTCGGACATGTTGTGTTCTTTCAAAAGCAAGTATGGTTTTTGGCAATCGATACTCTAATAATCGATGACGTCAATATAGGTACAATACACCATTCTATTATCGAGACAATTGATACATATACAACGGGTTCGCGCATAGATTGTTGCTATAAGCTTCGTGGCGTGTCCGCGTCCTTCTGCTCTGTTTATGCAAGCTCGCGAGCTTGGCGACACAACTGAATCGGAGCTAATCTCGAAGTATCACCGAGATCAAAAGTAAGAGTATTTTCTAAAATCTTTCAGATATCGTCACCGGAAAAAACGAGCCTAACGTCAACATGCTGCTGAGCTTGACGCTGCTACTGGCCACGGCCGTCGCAAGCTCGCAAGCCTCCATGTACAATCTACCCGAGGTAAGTCCCGAGTGTTGCTCGAGTCGAGCGCGAACATCGTATAAGAGGATGAAAAATGTGTACTTCGCAGGCGAACGAGATCATGAGCGACCGACTGCTGCGCGGCATACTCGAGCGAATGAACGGCGAGCTCGCCGCGGAGCAGATGGACGACGGTACGGGGCGGGGTTATCTCGTCCAGCCGCTCATGAGCCGCGACCGCTACGAGATCATGGACGACGGCGACGACGCCGACATCGACGATGAGATCATGGACGACGAGATCGCCAACAGCGACAAGGAGATACCGCTCGAACTGCCCTACGATTACGAGGGCGTTTACGAGCAGCCCAAGACGAGCATACGCGATCAGGAGTACCTGAGGCACAGCAGCTTGTGGAGCCACAATCATCATCGCCAGGGCCTGGACGATTACAAGGCCAACGACAGGCACAAGATCGTCGCCGCCGGTGCCAAGCAGCCCATCCTGCAGAAGCTTCAGAAGCAGAACCTCCAGAAGGATCCGGCCAGCCAGTTGCCGGCATATTGCACGCCGCCGAATCCATGCCCCGTTGGTTATACCAGTGAGCGTTTCCCCCTTCGTTTACTTCTTGTACCCTTCTATTGATTTTGTAAAATTAATCTTTTTTTCTCTCCTACCGACGTTGCAGGCGAGCACAATTGCATCGAGAATTTCGAGAACACGGCGGCCTTCAGTCGGGACTATCAGGGCGCTCAGGACTGCATGTGCGACTCCGAGCACATGATGGAGTGCCCGAACTCCATCGACCAGGACAACAACGTCGTGCCGGCCATGCAGATGGACAACACCGATTTCGATCAGATCGTCCAGCAGTTGCAGGTATGTGGCGCGCTCCGATACCCACGCGCGCGCACGCACGCAAGCGCCTGTACTTTTTATTTGAATTTGCACGCTTACGCCTCACCGAATATTATTTGTTCAATGAAAATTCATGAGACATTTTTAAGGGAGTATTTTCCTGACTTGTTGCAGGACAACAACAATCCATTCCTCGAAGGGGAGAAATTACCAATCGCCGCTAAGAAGGGACTTAACGTCTATTGAATATGTAACGTGTAATTTTTCCGAGGCATGAAAAGTGACAGATATATTTGTACGAGATATATATATATATTTATATATTATTTTTGTGGATTTATTTTTCAAAAGAGACCGACGAGGATACTTAACTCAAGTGAACCAGATGTAGAATAGTTATTCAAAACAAATAATAAAAATAACGATATAAAATAAGGTTGACCCAAGTACATAAAAGATATTTAAAGATATATGCGTTTGTTAAAAATGTTTTTAATGTTTCTATATAAAAAGTTCTTTACAAATACTTAAATATACATTCTCAAATTCTATGCCAGGCTGTTACTAGTCATATCATATGGTTGATGTTAAAATGGTTTAATTATTATATTACATCTATTCAATACTCTACTATTTGTACCACATCTTTTTCATTGCGTTTGTATGTTAAAAATTGGTTTACATCACTTATGAAAGTCGACATTGTATAATTTATATAGCTAATGACTCAAAATATATTTTCGATTTTAAAATATTCTGTTAAAAGAATAATTTTTATAACCCAGTCAACAGTTTCAAGTTTTATTATTATTATTATTTTTTTAATTTCTAATTTGTAGTAAAAAGTTTATTTCTTTTTATAACTCCTCAGTATAGGATATATATACTCCATAGCTATTTTGAGTTGTTGACGATTTTTGGCACCTAGAAAATAGTTATGATAACATTAGATGAAATTTAAAATAAATTCTTGGTTACTAATAATAAATTACAGTTCTTACCAGTCAGGACAATTTTTCCATTAACGAATATCATTAGTACAAGGTTAGGATTTATCAATCTGTATATCAAACCAGGGTATAATTCTGGTTCATAACTTACAAAATGGTTGTGTAAATAAGGAATTTCCTCCAGCTTAATAACAAATTTCACATCTGTTGTAGCAACAATATTTTGTATTTTAAATTCTGTGAATTTTACCTGTAACATATTTTTGTATTGTAATTAAATCAATTGTACTATAAATTTTCGATTTGAAACAAAAACTTACATTAAAGCCAACTTTTTGGATAATTCTAGCAAACTTTTTAGATGCTAGTAATGAGTCAGCTTCATTCCTGGCTCCTGTACAAACAAGTTTACCAGATCTAAAAATAAGGGCTGTTGCTTTAGGATTTCTAATCCTCATAATGAGCCCTGTGAATCTGGCAGGATTATATTCCGAATTTCTAGTTCTTATATTAATGTAACTAAGATTGAGTTCACAATTTAAATTAACGGTTGACACTACATTTCTGAAAAAAAAAAATATGATGCAATCACTTCAAAGTTGATAGCGTATGTAATGCATTGTCTGATCTATGTATTGTGCATATATGTACTTACTGTAAAGTAGGTTCCATTATCCCGCTAGTAATAGGTGTGGCAGTTGGAGTTAAAGGTACCATAGATTGATAAGGATTACTTTGAGTTTGTGATTGTGATCCTCCGGACTGAAAATCATAATTGTTGATGATGTAAAACTTTTTCAAGTAAAATCAGCCACAAGTGCATCGCCGTTTAACCTCGAAACGAGCCGCTGACACTCGCGGTTCCTTACCCTGGGAGACATTGGAACATTGCCATCGTCGGAATTTCTCGAAGGACTCGCTAAAAGTCGCTTCAATTCGTGATCGCTGGATGTCGACTGCATTTCGCTCACTGTCAGTTGCCTATGGGTACTCAAAAACCAATCCTTTCTGGACAATCACAACGGCGCGTTGTATACATTACTACCCAAGTTTGTGGCTAATGATTGCTACGGCTCTGTAGTCTGTTCACAGTACATTCTACGTCAGAAATAAGTAAGTAAGTATAAGGCTTGGTGCGAAAGAGAAAGCGGCACGTGCTCCGATGACTGCTCGCCAATCGCCACGCACGATGACAGAAAAGCAAATGCTGCGCAAAGGCGCGTTTTCATTATTATCACGAGACAGTGACTAACTTATCGGCAGCTAATTGTACAATATATAAAACAGTGTATACCCGATACCCATATAATATAATTCTATAATATCATAAAAATAATTGAATAAAAGTTCTGATTAAAATATCCGAGTCTGAATGTACATAAAGTCAGAAAAGCCTGATAAAGTGAAAGTGTGAATCAGAGACTAGAATCATGTTGGTAGGATGTTTTAAAGAAGCAGGATATAGATTGAACTGATTTTAAGCATAATTTTTTTATTACTATTGTAAAAAAAAAAAATAAATATCAAAAATTCTTTAAAAAAAAAAATTATAAAAATAGCATTTTTGATCATAAAATTCATTATTGTACTACACTTTACACCTTCAGTAGTGTATCTACAAGTTTTCATAAAAAATTTACTTCAGATCACATTGGCACCAAAAGATTCAATGTATAATCTTTTCAAGATTAATGTGGTCTTACTCTAGGTCTTAAGAGTTCTATAACTTTTTTATATTATGGCAGGTACTTGAATAAAATTGTAAATCTATATGTTTGAAAAATATTATACACAAGGAAATCTTTGTTATCTGTATATCGTGAATGTGACTGTTTCTTCATGAGTAGTGACCCCATTACATAATTCTTGTCTCCAATTCATGAGTTCATAATACTATTGATCCCTATAGCATGAGGTGAAAAAATGCTGAAACACGTTATTTTTATGTCAAACATAATATATTATAAACAATACAGTTAAGTAGTCAACAAGAAACTTTATATTTTCTATGAACAAGTTCAGTTTATAAAACTATAATATTTTCTATTTCATGATTATTTTCATTGCTAAAAACGTTCAGTATTATAGATATTTCAGCTGTTTGAATTTTGCGTACACCACGTGTTACAAATTAAAAATCAAATGCTTAAAAACAAAACATCAATATGTACAATATGGTACTAACAATGCTTAATATAATACAGTAATTATTGCACACAACAAATTCGACCAGGAAAATACTTGACTGTTGAAGAATTAGTATAACAAAGAAATTTTATTTCATCCATGTCTGTGTAACACAATTCAATGTACCCAAAATTCGAACAGTTAAGCCACTTCTAGTCTTCAGATTGTCGAAAATACCTATTCTCAATATCTCTGCAGTGTCGAATGAGCGTAGGATAGCTTCTGACTATTGATCCCAGAACGTTGTTAGTTAACGGCGTTGTTATGATACTAAAAATGTGTCCAAATACCAATGCATCCAATTCATTAGGTCTGATTCATAATTGTAACAAAAATAAAAAGTTAATTAATTGTGAGGAATTTGGTTTTTATTACAATAATATATTTATAAGGTACTAACTAATTTTGAAAAACTTGAAAAAGTTACAAGATTGCTTTCATTTTAATTTTTAACAAATATGTTTAAGAAAATATTAACATAATACTTCTACAATAGATTCTTCAGATGATAATGGAATAACTTCAAAACTTTCTAAACTATGATTAAGAGTATGGTTAAAATAGCATTTTTTAATAGTATAAGCATGATCAAGGAGTCGAGGATAACTGCGGATGATTGTGGCAATATCTTGGACAGGTGAAGGAAGATTTGATGTTGTTAAGGTGTGAACATGAGAAAAAACCAATGCGTCTAATTCATTTGGACTTGAATTGAAAAAAAAAAGAAAAATTAATTATAAAGAAAGAAAATTAATTAACTATATTTCATTGTATGAAAATGACTTACTTGTTTCCAAAGAAATATGGTTTATCCTCCAACCTTTCAGAAAGCGATTCACAGCACTTCTTAACATCCTCAAACACATCATCAAGTTTTTTATTTTTATAGCCCAAAATATTGAGCCTTTTGATAACTTGATTTCTCTTTTGCCAATTCAGCATATGATTGAGGGGCCATGGGTAAACGCTACCATGCCTCTCTTTGGTAATGGTTTTGTATGTATCCATGTGATACCAAGTAACGTACAGCTCCGAGTTGTAAAGCACATTATTGACCAATGACAGGAAGGCCCTCAAGTTGACTTTATCTTCAGACGACAGACTCTCAGACAAGTTGGTGCCTTTGCTGTTGAGGAACGAGACGATATTGTCGAAATCCGGCACGACGAAGGCTCCACATTTGATGAAGGGCACTCGTCCAGAGGGCGACATAAACTCGGCGTTCCATCTGGGTTCGATCGTAAAATCGAGATTACACATCTTCAGATAGGCCTGTACTGCCAAACAATTGGCATTGTCCGGCAGAAGTATTTGCTCGACCTCGTAAGGTTGATACAGATGAATCGGCTGTGGCCATGGCTCCTGAGCTGTAATTAAAGAAAGTATCAACTTTAGACTCACGAAGTTATATAGCAGTCAAGATGCACCCGCAAACAGGTTATAATATAAATTGAAGACAAAATTTGGCGAGTAATGCTGCACATAAAAATGATATTCTGATTGTGTCACCTCCTAAGCCAGCGTCCCAGGGCTCCAGTAACGTCGAGTTCTGCATGATGCAAAAAAATCTATCAAGCTCGTTTTACTATAACTGTTTCAGACTAGCTCAATATTGTATACACACTCTCCAGAGAGTCGCAGCAGACTTATTATATTATCGTGAGAAAACAGACGAAATCGTGTCAACGCGATGCTCTGAAAACTAAAGCTAGGCCAGCAGGCAGAACTTTGGAGTCGCGCGTTTTGCGGGCCGGCGCATTGGCATGCAGCAAACATGTGCCCCCCGTTGTGCCAGTGCGATCGACGTTGCGCGAAAAAACAAACAAATCGACGCCCTTAACCCATAATATGTAAGGCGCCGTGTGAGATAGCAGACGCTTAAATATAGTTTTCCGGGTAATTTATTTTTACGCGAAAGTCGCGAGCTGCATCGTGCATATTATACAATACCGACTCGATGCATTAAATACAATTCCATTGTTATTTTAAAGTTTTACTTACGATGAATGTCCAGATACTTTTCACCACATATCGTGACGAAATGGCGAATTTTTTCAAGTGGATCGTACTCCTATAGAATTAAATTGTAAAGTCGTTTCTGTGTACATCGAAGTCTATTGAAAAAATTCAATTATCAATTGGAAAGGCATTTAATAACCTCTTCATTAAGTTGCTCCTTAAAATTTTCATACAGAGACTCGTATGCTCCTATTTGCTCGCCGATTTTAGCCGCTTTCTCCGCCGGCTCGCAATCGCCTACAATTTTGTCTTTATTCATTGCTGAGAAATGATTAAAAAAATCGCACAGAAACGTGTGAAAATTTTCAACAAAAATTTTGGAGTAAAAAACGGGTGGAGTAAAAAGTACGCGACGCGAGACTAAAATTTTTAAATACTGTTTATTGGTATGAGCTTGGCATTTTGGTCGATTGCTTTTTGTTCAATTAAGCAGAAAAGCTCCACCTTATACAGTAAGTGTAGGTTCTCTTTGACGGTTAATATATAATATACTTATGTTAATTGTTAATTTGTTATGCCAGATTGATGAAAAGCTTGCAGAAGAGAACAGAACCAAAACACGTGATATCGTGCAAAAGGTATCTTTTTTTGTTATTTTTTCTCTTTTACGAATAATTATCATTAATTTTTTTATGTTCTCCACGAATTTTTTTTAGAAAATCAAGTTAATGAATTTAAATGAACCTCTTTATTATTACTATTTTTAAATATTTTTGTTCCGATTTATATGTTTATCAATTTTCAATTATATATTATGAAAATAAAATTAATGAAATAAATATTTTTGATAAAGAATAAAAAAATTGCTCTGCATAAATTCTGCAAGTAAATGTAATAATTTATGTAAAAATTTCATCAAGAAAGGAGGGATCAAAAAGAGTTGGACAAACATACTTTCATTCTGAACAGTAAAAATTTTAAATTGATAATTCATTTGCAATGTATTTAATTTATGAAAACCTTAAGAGCCATTAATTTTTCAAAATATCGAAATGAGACTTTGGATTTATGAGGGAAGCTTGAAATTGTATAATTCTGTTCAATTTTTCGGCAAAATTCCATTTCACAGGATTTTTCTTTTGATTGGCAATTTTTTTTTTCAACTCCAGAATTTCAATTTTTCATTGAGATATGGCCTTTTCTATAAATTCTTTCCGTATACTTTGCCTTACACTATAGTTGTATTATACACAGTGTGTAAGATGTTAGATACTTTGAATGAAACGACGATTCAAGCGGTATATAATTAGCGAAATTAAACGACTCGTTTGCATACAATAGGGTAAAACTACAATATCTCGAGGGGGATATAAAGTCGCTAACTGAAGCAGCGATGAAGGCATAGTTTTATATATCTTTTGATATGACGCCGTTGCCAGTGGCAACTAATCGCCATTCGCCTCGTCCTCGCTGACCGTCTGCACGCACACACAAACTCGCGTGTAGTCGATCGAAAGCACAAAAGCACCAGCTTCCCCGACGACTTTTCGTTCGATTTCGAGGCAAAAACAAAAGAACAGCAGACAAAAACTCTCAATAATGGTGAGAATACAGACAATTGTTGAGCGTCAATAGAAAGAGACGATAAGAAAACAACGAACGATCGGTCAATATGACAATGAACTCGTTACCCGTTGGCACGAATGACAGCGGTTCCGGCGGCGGTGCCAATTCGTCCAACAACGTCGTCATCTTCGACGTGTCGAAAAACGAGAGGAAGCTGAACGAGGACTTCAAGACTCTGCAGCGTAAATTAAAACCCAAATGGAAAATTATCGAGTGAGTAGATGAAAAAAAAATCACGAATTACACGATCATGCCACGTGCGCTGTTTTTTTTTTTTTTTTTAACCGAAGAAACACAGACGTCCTGAGCACGGAATTTCTGTCTACCGGAAAAGTGCTACTCCTGGCCGGCCCAAGGAGCAAATTTACCGAGCTGGAGATGAATTCCATCCGGGCGTTCATCAACTCGGGTGGAAACGTCCTGGTTATGCTCGGCGAGGGAGGAGAAAAGAAATTCAATACCAACATCAACTTTCTGTTGGAGGAATTCGGAATCATGATAAATAACGGTATGAAAAATAAATTATTATGTTACGAATAACGTTATTATAATTATCGTAATTATTTTTCAAATTGTCTCGCTGAAGACTGCGTCGTGAGAATGAATTATCATCAAACTTTGCACCCCAAGGAGTGCACAATTGCCAAAGGCCTATCGAACAAATCGGTTTTCTCAAAGAATCGCGACGACAAAGAGTGAGTAATTGATCAAATCGAGACAGACGAATCGTGAAATTGTCCGAATGCACGCGGACTCTTTTTGCAGCTCGAAATTTTTGTACCCGTACGGGGCGACGTTGAACGTCGTCAAGCCGTCGATCGTCGCGCTGTCGAGCGGCAGCATCACGGTGCCGACGAATCGGCCGATCTGCGCCTACTACTCGTCGAGGTCGACCTCCGGCAAGCTCGTCGTGCTGGGCTCGTTCAAGATGCTCAGCGACGCCTACATCGACAAGGAGAGGAACGACGCGCTGCGCGACATGATCTTCGGCTTCTTCGAGGCCGAGCCGATCGAGACGTCGGAGATGCACGGCGACGACGCCGACGTACGTCCACGATACATCTCGCGTGCCCATGTATAACTCCTTACTTACTTGGGCTGTTTTTTTTTCAGTACTGGGAGTACAACTTTGTGCCGGACGTGACGCAGCAGGCCGAGCGACCCCGCGTCTGCACCCAAGACCTCGAGAGCGTCGACATGCCGCGCGAGTACACGAAGCTCTTCAAGCACGACCTGTACTCGATCAATCTCGACATGGTGCCGGCCAGCCTCAAGGCCTACGACGATCTCGACGTCAAACACGAGCCGCTCAGCCTGATCGCGCCCAACTTCGAGACGCCGCTGCCCGCCACCCAGCCCTCGGTGTTCCCGCCTACCTTTCAGGAGCTGCCGCCGCCAGCACTCGAGCTGTACGACCTCGACGAGGCCTTCAGCTCGAATCTGCTCAAGCTGTCGCACCTCACCAACAAGTACATGGCCGGCGAGGACTCGGCCAGCGAGAAGGAGCTCGACTTTTACGTGCGCGAGTTCGGCGCCATAATGCGAATAAACGAGGCCGAGACCACGCCGACGGCTCGGCAGATTCTCAACAGCGTCTTTTTGAAGATAAGCACCTGCAAGTCCTTCCGCAACTGAGAGAGCAGAAAAACCCATGTATTTTTAAGGATCGCCTGCAGTGTCTCGATGCCAAAGTCGTGACACCTGCGACATCCTGCAACTTGTTGAATATGTCTATTCTATCATTTACAATTTTAATAAAAAATAATATTTTCGAAAATTACACCGATTGCAGACTTATGAAAAACTCCTGCACAGTGTAGAAAAGGATTGATTTTTCAGTTCTCGCATGATTTAAGCATTTTTCTTGCGCAATTTTAGTTCAAAAATACAAATCATACTTTTATCAAAAACCAGCCAACCCTACTAATATTGACTGATCCATTGATGTAATCAAAGCGCAAGTAGTAGACTTGATCATTCATCTTTATTACCCGCAAACGATTTATTCAGTTTCCACATTCATCATTTAAACTCCTGAAACATTTTTAACAAATTACAAAGAGATTTATTATTTTTATCATTTACTTTCCTGGCATTCGAGACTGTGAACTTTTGAATTTGCATCGAAGAAATCTGTTTTATCGACGAGTTTGTTTGTTTATATGTGCGTTTCACTGTCCGCGGTCTAGGTTGCGCTTCGGTCTGTTTGTCATTGCTTGCAGTCAGTGTTTACGCGATAAAATAGCCGCAACGCAGACTTTGGCTGCTTATAGAATAAAACTTGTGGAGAAAAACTTGTTATTGTTACTAAAAAGTATTATGTGAACACGAACTTATAGCATCTACGGTGCACAAAATTGCAATCATGTCGTTTTTTGTTGTTAATGCGTAAGTATCAATTCTTTCCTTTTGAATATTGAGGTTACGTCCACTTGCATTGTTTAAACAATAAAAACCGTAAACAGTGGATTGCATTCGATTTTATTTGCAGTAAATTTAGTATTTTACTTGATTCATAATTTTTTACTTCTTATAATTTCAGTTTACTTTTAAAACCACCCAAATTTAAAAAATTGTATAATAGCATTTGCTTTTTAATGTCAAAATTTTTAAATTTCTTTTTCTTTTCATTCAGTGGTAATCAGGGAGACAGTGAAGTGGAAGGTGATTCTAATGGAGATCTACAAATTGCTTCACCTGGAAGCTCGGAATCACAGCTTGCTCTTGCACAGTTTTGGCCAAAAATAACAGAGGACATAAAAAAAATAACTACTGTTAGTATTTTTTCATGTAATACATTTTTTAGTAATAAATGAAGAAATTTCATGTACAAACATAAAAAATTGTTGCAGATGGACTTAAAAACACAATCATTACCACTAGCAAGAATAAAAAAAATTATGAAGCTTGATGGTGATGTTAAAATGATTAGTGCTGAAGCACCAATGTTGTTTTCAAAAGCAGCAGAAATTTTTATTCATGAACTAACACTCAGAGCTTGGGTGCATACTGAAGATAATAAAAGGCGGACTCTACAAAGAAATGATATTGCAATGGCAATCACCAAGTATGACCAGTTTGATTTTCTTATCGACATTGTTCCCAGAGATGAACTGAAACAAAGCAAAGCTCAGTCCGACACAGGAGTTAAAACATCCATGTCATCTGATCAAGTGCACTATTATTTTCAATTAGCTCAGCAGCAAGCATCTGCAAATCAAACCGTGCAAAATACCGCAACATCTCAACCCATTCAAATAGTACAACCCAATTCTGGGCACATTCAAACAATCAATATAGGTTCGGCTGTAGAGCAAGATAATACACAAGCGCTTACTGTTCAAACATCCCCAACGACAGGAGGACAAGTAATACAATTGCAGCAGCCTCAGCAAACAGCTGTACAAACAAGTGGTTTACAAATTGTCCAGCAAGTTGTTACTCCAAGTGGGGAAATTCAACATATACCTGTAAGTCATTGAAAAAAATGTATTTGATTTTATTTTTGCCTCTCAATCTTAAAGTTAAATTTGAAATGTATAGATTCAACTATCACCACAACAACTGCAAATGATTCGAATGCAAGTTCAAGGGGGAAACACTCAACCCATAATAATACAAGCTCCTGTACAAACGCAACCTCAGTTAATTCAAGTTGCACAAAATGGACAGGCACCAGTATTTTTACAGGCCAGTTCATCTGAAAATGAGTGATTGCATAAAATATTTTCATTTTTAAAATATTTGATTCCTTGTAACTATTAAAAATATATATAAATACTATAAGTATGTTAGTTTATATAAATCTAATGACTGTAAAATTTTAAATGAATCTAAAGAAAATATATATAGTTCTTAAAACTTAAATATAGTTAAATGTCAATAAACCATCAAAGTTAAATTTAAAATATTCTACGTGTAATTAAAAACTTTATTTTATAACATCTACATATGCTCAAAAATGATACCAAAAATGAACAAGACAAAAAATAATACATTCAATCAAATTCAATCAATACATTAAGTTAAAAACTAATTTAATTGATTTAATGGATTTATGAAATGCATGATACATCTGCCAAGAAAAAGTTTCGATATTCTAATTATGAGATCGAGCATTGTAAATTTCAAAAAATTTCCAATTAGTATAAAAATAAAAGTTATTGTAAGATACAAAAAAATTTGTATACACCAAAAATTCCTATGCCCACAGAAAAAATTACTGCATATCAACTATGGGATACTTTTTTTAGCAAAAATGTATCGTATCGTTTTGTTCAGCGAATGTGGTTGTATAAATTTCCTTTAAATCTTCCATGTTAAATTTGAAATTGGAATACTGATCTTTGAAGGTAATCCCTAGGTACAATTACAAAACCCTTGGATTTACTTGGAAAAAATCACTCTATTAATTACAAATCGACGATGATGTTATTTACGGCAGTATCTCCGTCGTCTTCCGTGATAACACATGATACAATAGTTTAGATGTAATATCTGACTCAGAGAAACAAAAACCTAATACTTGAAATATCTCTGTGTTCGAAAATAGTTGTTTATGTAACAAGTGCCCAAAAGGCGTTTTTGGGCACGAGTGTGCGGGAAAAGACACGAGTGCCGGCTATGCCGGCACGAGTGGGTGTTTTTTGCGCACACTGTGCGCAAAAAGCTGGGCACGTGTTGCATACAAAATTTTATGCAATAGGAGACGAAAAATACTTTCATTTAAATGAGGCGTTTTACCGCACACCCTTGTCCAAAATGAGGCATTTTACCGCACACGAGTGTCCAAAAACGCTTTTTGCGCACTAAAAAATGTGCGAAAAAAGACATTTTTTGTCGTACTATTGCATAATAGTTATTTATGTAACAAGTGCCCAAAAGGCGTTTTTGGGCACGAGTGTGCGGAAAAAGACACGAGTGCCGGCCATGCCGGCACGAGTGGGTGATTTTTCCGCACACTGTGCGCAAAAAGCTGGGCACGTGTTGCATACAAAATTTTATGCAATAGTAGGCGAAAAATACGTTCATTTAAATGAGGCGTTTTACCGCACACCCGTGTCCAAAATGAGGCATTTTACCACACACCAGTGTCGAAATGAGGCATTTTACCGCACACAAGTGTCCAAAAACGCTTTTTGCGCTCTAAAAAATGTGCGAAAAAAGACATTTTTTGTCGTACTATTGCATAAATGTCTTTTATCTTATCCAAAAACGCTTTTTGAGCTCTAAAAAATGTGTGAAAAATGTCTTTTTTCGCACATTTTTTAGTGCGCAAAAAGCGTTTTTGGACACTTGTGTGCGGTAAAATGCCCCATTTTAGACACGGGTGTGCGGTAAAACGCCTCATTTAAATGAACGTATTTTTCGCCTACTATTGCATAAAATTTCGTATGCACAGTGTGCGCAAAAAACACCCACTCGTGTATTTTTCCGCACGCTCGTGCCCAAAAACGCCTTTTGAGCACTTGTTGCATAAATAACTATTATTATACTTTTACTAAGGTAGGCATTGATAGAACAACCAATCGGTGTAAATTTTTCTGTTTCAAGTTTTCAACAGGTAACTTCAACTTGCCTAATATCGAACATTTGTCCTACCGTGTGATGATCTAATTGCAGTAATTCGCTAACACTGAATTGATTATTTGAGTCTATGTTTAAGATGATTGTTTTGTGGCTTCGATTTCGCTCTTAATTTTTTCAAGATAATAAACATGTGGTATCTATCGCAAAAAACTTGCGTATGTACAATATTATTCGTCGATCGACATGAAAATGCACTTTATATGAAAATGGTGACCTGAATACAAAAAAGTTTTGTTTCATTTAAAATTAAACAAGTGAAAGAATCGATTCAACAACCTTTGCAGACAAACAAGGAGAGCTTTTCAGGTCCGGGTCACAGATCTTTACCAAACTTTTTTGGGGGTCTTCTGGTACTGAATACTGAAGCTCATTGTGCTTAATTTAATCTCATGTGCTTTGGGGCCCATTTTTTAGAGGATTTTCCACATAATAAAAAAATCGTTGTAATTTTCTATATCGATATAGTAGTCATTTAATCATATAATTTGTTATTTGACTATATGACAGACACGATAAAAGTAAAAACTACAGCATCATGAATACTCATGTGAAAACATTGACACTGAATAAGTGCATAAATTTACACTTATAGAAAAATGAAGAATAAAGATGTTCAATCATCAATTAACAAATTCCATAAAAATGAGAATCTGACTTTTGATTTTGTTCGCTTTTTATTATGTATCTATTATCACTGTTGTTATGATCAGCTCTCATTATTTAATATCTCATTTAATAAACAAGATTCCATGGATCACTAGAAGAAAAATCTTAAGATTGATGTTGATGATGAAGTTAACTCTGTTGAATAGCCCCATTTAAAATTCTAAGTCATGCTCTAGCGTTACCACATTAAAATCTTTTGCATGTTAATTTGAATTCTCAATACTGGGAAACTTTTTTTTCATTTTGCAATAAGTAAATATAGTTAAGTGAATTATACTTTGATAATAAGTTAACAAGTTAACAAAGATATTCTAATCACTTTAGCAAATACTTGATATTTTTTAACTTCAAAATTACTTCAGTCTTTACTCAATTAAAATTTTTTCACAGCTACCATAGACCTTGCTTGGAATAATGCTAAGAAGCGTGATAAACGAGTTCGATGGGGGAAAAAAATGACTAGCTCTGATACAACGTCGAACGATGAAAATGTCAACTTATCGAACATTAAAGTAAATGTAAGCTTGAATAAGATTAAATTTAAATCATTTGGAAATAAAGTAACATTATACATAAATTAAAATTTAATTTTTAGATTCGCCAAAAAAAATCAACCAAGCCTCGAAATTTATGAGACCTCAGAAAATAATCGAAAAGTATAAGGAAACTTCTTTTTTAAATAATCATAGTCGGCTAGTGGATGAAAAGATTGATTCTATTTCAAAGAACGATAAAAAATTAATGGCTAATTGTAAAGTTTAATTATATCGAGTTCCTAAAACAATAATCTAATCCATACGTAGTAGGTCTCACCCTAGTAGCATCCAACCGACAAAAACATCAACAGTTTTTTCTGAATCTTTACCAATTAATAATAAAGAATCGTTTCCATGCACACCTACTTTGTTGGCATCTTATAAATAGCCTGTTTCTCGGTACAGCAGCTCTCGAATCAAGTCTGGTCGCTATCGTATCAATTTAAATAAACTGCAGCATCCTATTCGTCAATCACAATCAGAATCTTCAAATGATTATGTCGAGACAAGAACAAGTCATTCACCAAATTCAAAAAGTAAAAATATTGAAAATGATAATCCCTCTTTTTTGCGTTCAGCGAATCTGTTAAACTCTCCAAGTGATACTAGAACTCCTCAGGAATACGACCGTTCTTTTCGTTTGAATAACAATAGTTTTCAGAGATCTGTTCATTCTTATTCTCCGAATGGTGACGATACTTCTGAGGTATCAATAACTCGAGTTCTAACCACGATTATGATTCTCCTGAGAGATCCTATCATTCTCCGACTTATACTGGTTCTTCTCGCGGATACCATTCTAACCCGTCTAATTATGATGATACTAATGCTCCTCAAGGAGAAAATGTTGTTCTCCCTTCAAATAATAATAATCGTCCCCAGGCAGTCAATCTTCCTCTTTCTCCACAAGATAATAATCATCATCCAGTCGAGAATCATTCACTTCCTGAATACGATAATAATTCTCCACATGGATCTCAACATTCAGACCCTCCTGCCGAAGAAATACCCTTAGTAGTTGAAGAAGACATCGGTAATTTATAATAATAATAATAATTATTATTATTAAAAACGATGCTGTTTTTTTATCACAACCTTCGAGTTATACACGATTTTGCCAGGTATTGAAAGTATTTGTAATATCAGTCGCGAATCAAGCTCCTCGCATTAAAAAGTCAGGATACACAATTTTTTAAACGCGTTTAATGAGATTCTTGAAGAATACTTTTGTGAAAAAGCAGAGATTTTATTTACCTCGTGATATAATGATATTTCCGAAGCATCCTCAACTTTCCCAATTATATTTGTCGATGGATTTTATGCTAAATTATCTCCATGAATTTACGCGTATATTAAAGAAGAATGAAAACCCCTTTTGTTCCGAATCAACTTTTTTATTCTAATAGATCGAAAGTTGAGCATACGAAAAGAGGAAAGTGAAAAAGTATGCAGTATGCATGGAAATGACATCTTTGGTAGGTCCCCAAGCTTCAATGTTTGAATATTTATACTTTTAAAAGTTTTTCGCAAAAAAATTAATAAAATAATTGGCAACGATTGGCCATTTCTCTTTAATGTTCAAGATTTTACTGGTTATATAACTCGAAAGTAAAAATTGAACTGCTTATTTCAAATTTTAATTAGAAAATTTGAAGACAATAAAATACGATGAAAACTTCCCACTCATTCACTAATACCACCAGGATTTATATAATTTTTACGAACAGAAAGGACTGTTGATTCCAACTGAAAATCCCGATAAATATGCTAGATATGAAGTTGTATATGTAGAAGTAAGTCAAATAATTATTGTATTTTCGAGCATTTAATCATATGTTATACTTTTTATTTAGATTCATCTAGGCCAAGGTATATTTGTCGGTGAAACATCGTTAAAGATGTTCAGAATGCAGGGTCTTTTTAAATTTGAACGAAAAATAGCTCTCGCTCTATGTAGAGGCAGCCTACGGGGACCTGAAGAACCTTTAGCAAATAGATGCCTGTTACCAAAGGGACAAAAAGTTGTTTTCGCTGGTCAAGGGGTGTGCCCAATAATAAAACTTAAATAAATATCTTGAATTATATTTAAGTGAGTATTGAAAATGGGATTGTAATACTAACAATGA